AGTTGAAGTCCACATGTCTTAAAGTTGCCAAGTTTGAGAAATGCTACTATAAATGCTCCTTGAGGCTGGCTGGCTTCTCTGTGTGTGTGTGTTTTTGTCTCTTTCTCAGTCACAGCCTAAAAATTGCAGTGTTTGGGGTGCATCATTGTTTCTTGGAGATGGAGAAGAGGATGTGATAGACTTAGAACTTGTAGGCATAGCCAAACGCAAAGAAAAACTGTATCTTTAATAGTTGAAACACAAAATGCTGGCCTGAGCTGCAGATCTGGTTAAAGCGGTTGCTTCAACATCCCTTCCTGCCTCGTCATCACCTTGAATTTCCTTTAAAAAAAAGAAAATAGAATTAGAGAATCATGGGCTCCTGGAGATGAAAGAGACGGTGGATTGATTGCTCAGTGCAGGAATCCAAATTAAAATTTCCCTAAGAGAGAGTTCTCCAGCCTCTGGTTGAACCTGGCCAGCAAAGAGGAGTCTACCACTTTTTAGGGTGATTGATGCCACTGTCAAACTTCTCTTAGTATGAGGATTTTTTTTCTAATCGGAAAAAAAATGCCTTCTTGCAACTTAAGCCCATTATTCTATCTTTTGCCCTCTAGAACAAGCCAAACCAGGTCTTCTGTGCAACAACTTTTCAGGGATCTTGTGTCAAGTGAGCCTTCTCTTCTAAAGCTGAGCATAATCAGTTCCTTCAACTGCACTTTACTGGACTTAATTTCTAGTCACTTGATCATCCGGGTTGCCCTTCTCTGACCCTGCTCCAGTTTCTCTTCATCCTTCTTCAGGCCTGATGCCTAGAATTTGTGGTGTGCTGTGACCAAAGCGGTACTCGTGAAGCGGTCTGACCAAAGCAAAATAATACAAAGCAATTACTTCCCTTAATTTGAAAATTATGCTTCTGCTCTTTCGATATAGCCTAAAACTGCATTTGCCTTTTCTGCAGCCATGTCACGCTGCTGGCTTATATTCACTTTGCCACCAAGTCTATTCAAAATTCTTCTGGAGGTATGCTTGGCTCCTTCAGGAAACAATCATTATTAGAAACTAGACAGAGGAATTATATCTTTCATATTGAGAAAAAAACTATATAATGGTTTGTTTCTCCTGATCATGTGCAATATCCTTGTCATAGTTTAATGCATGGATGAGAATTTCCCAGCTGAATAAATCAGCTAACTGGGCTTCAGCAGTTCCAATAAATTTCAGAGCTTCTAGTTAGGAAAGGATGTTCTAACAGTCCCCTTTTAGAGGATCTTAAAGTTGCTGAGATTGAGAAACGCTGTCCTAGAGGTTGGCAAGGCACTGCACAGAGGATGCCTATCTTATTTTATTTTATTTTATTTTATTTTATTTTATTTTATTTTATTTTATTTTATTTTGCAAATGTACATGGCCACCCATTTCATTAAACGTGACTCTGGATGGCGTACAACCAGCAACAATTAAAAACAGTATCACAACCGTTAAACAATGAAACATAAATAAAAGATTGTGGGAGAATAACAACCATCTAGGTACAATACAGCCGTCTCGCAGGCTCCCCTTCTTCGATTACAATCCTGTCTTAAACTTTGGTCCACTCAAGATGACATACAGACTCAATGCTCCCACCTCCTTTTTTCCCCACAAGAACCCTGTGAGGTGGGCTGGGCTGAGAGAGAGGGAGGGACTGGCCCAAAGTCCCCCAGCTGTTGGCCGTTACACCAAACTGGCTCTCCATCTTGGGTTTCCTTTTGTTGGTGGTGTTGTTTCTAACTATTTTTATCATCTTGACTCCTCCTGCTCCTCCA